CCCCCCCCGCCCACCTCCCAGCGGATGTGTATAAATGCCCTTTGTTACAGATTTAACAGTGATACGTTTTGTCACTTTGAGATATTGGGTTCTCCCTGTTATCCAATGGCTGTTCTATTCAAATGGCTCTTATGGCAACAAACTTCATGAGTCTGGGCTAATCATATTCTAGAACAGTGGTGTCAAACTCACCTTGTGTCTTGAGCAGGATACATACTGCAGAGCTCCTTGTGGACTGGATCCAGCCCAGAGCACATGGCAGCAGCAGTGCTGGTAGTGGCAGCTGTGGTGTCTCTGGCATGCAGCGGTAGCTCCAGCTCCTATGTTCCTCATGCTGAAGCCAGAGTTACTGCTTCTGGCATGTACTGTGTGCTGCAATAGCAGCTCCAGCTCTAGTGTGCGGCATGCAATAACAGCGACTTCATCAGCAGGGTTGGCATTGGGTCAGTAGCAGAAGAGGTAGGACCACAGTAGTTGCTTGGGCAAAATGGTGAGAGGGGGACCAAGACTGTATCAGCCCTTGCTTGCCCTCCTGCCACTGACTGCCATGTCCAGTAGGGACCAAAGGCCCTGGATTATGTGGCAGGCCACTTTCCCAGCCATGCCCCCAACTTCTGTTGGCCTATCCAGCAGCCCAGTGGACCAGCTAGAGAGTCTTTACAGGCTTCATGTTTGACAGTCTTGTTCTAAAGTATACAGTGGCTTTGAAACATTTAGGCCTACAGTGAGGGCTGTCCATAGGTTTTTAAATTCATATTGGATGTTTTCAGGCACAATACTTTGATATGATTTTAAAAATTACTAGAGCCCTGATTCTGCAAACACTTAGGCACATTCAAGAATGGGACAACTTGCATAAATAAAGTTAAGCCCATGTATAAATGTTTGCAGGACAGAGATGCTATTCATCTTGTTCTCCTGCTATCTGTCCATCATATATTCAGAGGTACTAGAAATAGGGTTACTGCTTGCTTACCTTTCTTCATGAAAAAATGTAGAATGTTAGCCTTTCCCACTACTGTATCTGCATATAGACATATTCCCTATATCACATCTAAAAACTATCTCACCTTTAGAAAATATTACTCCCACCGTCAAAACTATCCCTCCAGTATGACCTTTCAGTTCATACCACAAATATGTTTTACAGGGCAGAATAATGCTGTCTGTGATTTCTCTTTGTTCATATTCTTAAGAGATGTGACCTTTCTTTTCTTTTTGGCTTTTGAGGATAATTGAGCTCCATCTGTGGGTTTCATGTGGCAAAAGGCACAGATGATTTTACTGCCATATTCTTGTTGTCATCCCTGTAGTGTGTCGCTATGGGGGGAAGGAGGTGAGAAAAGGCTCCTTGGAAATAAAGAACATCAGAAGCTATTGTTTTGGCAGTTGAACTCCAGTAATTACAAATGGCAGGAGCTAGATTTACTGATCATGCAATTTGGATGGT